GTGCATCACACCGGCCTGGAGGTACGCGTATAAGCCACGCATTATGCGAGCCCGGTCAAACATGTCCTTGGGAACGTCCACGCGTCGGCTCAGATTGCACGAGTCGAGACAGCTACAAATCCGTAAGTACTGAATCGTTAGATGCAGACTATATATACCTGTAATGATATAAGTATGCGATACGAGGAACGCCGGGAGCGTTCTTTAGTATTTTAGAGAGTGTTTTTGGTGCGTCTGCTACGGCAACGGAAAAGACGTTCGCCGGATCAGCTGAACATCCCTCCGCATCAACGACAACGTTGAGAAGAGTGAAGCTAGTGGTCTGCTTCTCAACGTCAAAAATCTTGATACCACCCTTGAAATATTTGTCCACAAGAGCCACAGCCTGAAATCGGGGGGGTCAAACAGAGGCAAAATAGATGGTCGACACTAACCTCTCGTTCAAGGCTTTCGGTGATAGTCTCTTCATTAACTCTAGACCAATAATTGTTAGCCTTAATGCGAGCGATATGCAGACACTCACTTGCACACGACAACCATGCGACAGCTATACGCCTTCTGACATCCAGCAATATAATAATCGCCATAATTATTTCTGAATTCGGCGTCAGAAAGTTTGTCCAACCCCGCCTTGAGCCGTACATCCTCTGGAATGTAATCGACAGTAAAATCTGCCTCGACTTTGTACTGCACGAGAATCGTCGAAGACGAGTGGTTTTGCAACAAAACTGACGCGATCTTGGCGTTGGCGCCAACAGGACACAACACATTCACGGTTCCGCCAATTTCCATCTCAAATCCATCCTGCAAATCCTTGACCCCCTTCCATTGCAGGCGCTCGACGGATATGCGAGTTTTGCCTGGCTTCGACGAGTTCGCCATTTTGGGATCGCGGAGCGCGCAGCGTGCCATAAATTCGCCAGTGAGGGCGTCGACCCCAAATCCTGGTCTGAAAGGCTCCGACCATGGGATTTTCATATGCTGCTCCAGCATCGTATGAGCGGTCTACGGTTAATTCTACGGTGAACCGAGGCTAGCGCTACATACAAAAACTGGCACACCTTCTTTGGCTGGGTTGAAGCTCCGTCCACCCCATGGAGCGCTGGGGGCTTGTCGGGAAGACTCGTTGTTCTTCGATGCTGGTTGGTGGCGGGAGGCTTGAGCGTCCCATCTGGCGTTTTGGCACCATCTGGCGTTTTGGAACGGTCTGATTTAGGTTTGGGGGCCTTCGGAGGCGCTAGTAATGCAGGCTTGGTGTCCTTGGCTGCACTACCCTGCGAAGATTTGGGCCCCATAAATTAAAGAGTAACCAAGAAGCAACAGAGTCCAAGTTGAGCAGTGGAGAGAGAAGATCATGATAGACGCTGAGAGCTGTGGTCGGCTGTGGTCGGCCGAAGTGTGATGGCAAGCTTGTTTTCTTACATATGTTGGCCAAACTTCCGAATTCAAGGAAAAACCAAGTGACATGTTCCCGTATTATAACTAATCTATAATTTATTCGCTCTTGACTTCCTCCATCCTGACCCACAATCCGCCCTACGTACACAGATATCAGATTCATCTAAGCATCGAAAGACTCAAACAAAACACACCTTAGCGAACATGGTCAAATGCCTTCCGAGCATAATCTTCTCCGTTGCCTGCGTGCCCTTCGCGTTCTTCCAGTGTGCAGGCGGCCTCGTCGCCCCCGGCTGGGCGTCCGGCGCGAGGGCAAAGCCCGTGAAGTTCTGGAGAAGGCGGACGAGGAAGAACGATGCTTCGTTGAGGGCGAACTGTGGGCGAGGAGGGTAAGCTTTTATATCGGTAGAGGAAGGACGGAGGTGGCAACGCGCCTGTTGACCAAGACAAATCCTGGGCCCTGGAAAGTTGGTGAAAGTAGATTCACGGCGAAGGAATGATACGGGATGCATACCGGCATTGAAGGGAAGGAAAATGAACGGGTTCGGTGTGAGGTACTTCTTGACTCGTTCATCCAGGAAACGGTCCGGATCGAATTTCAATGCTGATTCATTGTGAGATTCATCTAGTGGACGATGAGAGGGACACGCACCATCAGGCCCCCACAGGTCTTTGCGCCGGTGCATCAGAAACACGCTGTAGCGCACCCTTTTGTGCGGTATCAGGGACGACTATTCGAAAACACAAATAAATGAACGAACTTGGTGTTCGGTGTCACATAAAACGGTTTATCGCCGGGTCTGATGGCAGGCAGGGTTGTAGCTTTCCTTGAAGTTCTGTGATAAACAGATCAGTCCGGAATCAAGTGTATCTGGGACGAAAGCGTGCCTGGCGTTAAACGGCCTGGGTAAGAGATGAGTTGAGAACGATTGGTATCAGTAGGCCTTAACAGAGAAGCTTACACGGCAGGATACAATCTCAGCGTTTCTAAGAATTATTGGAACATTGGTTAGGAAAATAGTATCACCGAAGAACCGCACCGTTAAGGAACGCCCGCAGGTACTTCATGCTGCGCAGGTCGTCGTATGTGATCATCCTGGAGCTTCCGACGGTGTCGAGAATTTCTTTGCGCAGCCGGACTGCAATTTCTGGATGTTCCGCAAGCATGTACACCGCGAATGTCAGGGTCGCGGCGGTCTGAAGACGTATATCTGAGTGAGCGAACAAAAGTCATTGTGCTGTGTACGCACAGTGTCGCGTCCGGCAACCAGGATATTGAAAATCGAATCTTTGATGACTTCTTTGTCTACAAAAAGGTTTAGCGTACAGGTGGTAAGTTGACAAAAGAACAAGACGTACTGTCTGTGGCCTGGACCAAATGACTCAAAAATGTCGCCTCCTCGTCGCCTTTCCCGCCCTCCAAGTCCTTGTCTTTCTCGTTTGCCCTCTTCCGCTCCAGCGCAGCGTCCAGAATCGGCTCGATATATGCGTCCGCGATGTCCCTGTGCGGCTTCACCTTGTCGGCCCACAACTCCGCAAGCGGCCATTTAGTTGCCAACGCGCCACGTTTGACCGTCATCAACTGGCCGTAGGTGAACGCGCGGACGTAGGTGTTGGATGGATGGCTCAGGAAGGACGGGGCGTTGGAGAGGGGGGAGGACTCTGGGTAAGAGAGCCCCGCGGACATGGAGTCGACGGACTTGCCGAAGAGGAATTCGGTGGCAGAGTCAAGTGTGAAGCGAGAGACGCAGTCCTATATGTAAAAGAAGTGCTGAGACGGCGACCTAGAAACACCGGTTAGAGTATTAACCTGAATATCGACGGGGTAGCCATCCGCAAGGCGTTTCTTGAGGTGCGCCAGAGCGTCGCGGGTGTGGGTGTCGAAAGTGTCGAAGTCGCTGATACGTTCTGATATTACATCGAGCATGAAAATGTGTGCGAGCATGCGGTCTGAATAAAGCTGCTGACCTCGATGGAAAAATGGGCGGCTCATACTGCGATGGAACTTCCACATATCATCTACCCAACGAACGGATGAGCCATTTGGTGCATTCGAAGGAATTAATCCGCGGGAATATACTCACCGTCAGCGTTGAAGACACCTGTGGTAATTATCAAAGGGTCTGTTAAAGGCAATAGAACGTAAAAACCATACCAGTCCCAAGCAACGATTGGCTCGAGTGCGTACTGGCGGGGCCTAAAAAGAATTATGAAAAAGCCAATCCAGTGCATGCCTGCTCCGACATACCCTTCCAAAAATGGTCGAACTCCGTCGCCAGGATAGCCTTGATGTGGTCCGGCTCGATTGTGAATATCTGAGAGGGTGCAGAGGTGCGATTGGCGCCAATTCACAGGTATGAAATACAAATGAATACTTACCACGGGGTCAAAAGCGACTGTGGCCTTGAATGTGTTGCCGTATGTTTCAAACCAGTCGAGAAGAAAATCACCTACATGCGAACCGGATGAATTGATAAGGAGAATGTGTACTCCAAAACAGTCTAACGGACCGGGATACTCTGTCTTGGCCAGGGCCGTCATCAAGCTCCACCCGCCAGGCCACTTGTCGTAGGCTTCAGGGATCGGTCCGGCACCGCGCGCGGCCGCGTCTCGGGCGTTCCGGAACGTCATGTAGAAGTGGGCGAGAATAGTAAGGACCGGATGCGCAAGAAGCGCGGCAAGGAGCTGGCTCCACAGTGGTAGCAACGGGACTCCCAAGTTGAGGCGGGGGAGGATGTGGCTGAGGAATACATACGTCGCGATGGGGGGAATGAGTGTGCTGGGGAGCAGTTCGAGGAGATATGAAACGCCTGGGGTGGGCTTGATCATGATTGTTTGCGGGAACGGGAGCGAGTGCGTCCTAAATATTTTCGTGACCTGCGTTAAATAAAGTGCAGCGCTGCTATCGCCTTTCCGCTGATTTCCTCCACGAAGACAGCTTGCTCGGATGAGATGATGATTGCCATGGAAGGGTAGATGCGTTTGTAATCCTGCTGATCATCTCGCTCACCTAAAATGGAAGTCTCGGAGAGTAACTCAGTGAGGGTGCCCGGTTGCCGGCGGTTTAAAGTGGGGATATAATAACTGAGTACGGAGGTTGAACTATGAGAGAGCCAAGCCAGAGCGTTATATCGCCAGGAATTGAACACAAGGGTTATTGCTGCGAGTGGGTTGAACTGAGTGCGCTCGCCCGATATTGACCGGAACCGGATGGCAGCTAGCGGAACCGGATGACAGTGGGCGGAAGAGACGAGCGGATGTTGGTCTCGTGCGTAGTTTGTGTGACTTCAATAGATATCCCTGGCCAGCCTGAGGCTGGGTCGAGAACCACATAAGCTGTTGAGGAAGACTAGTAGCTGGCTCTAATGGCCAGTTAGCCACACCCGCAGTCGGCCACCACGCGGGGCGACTTGCGTCTAGGCGTCTAGAATGAATTAGTAGTTGTGGGAGGCGCCGTCTGATTGGGGCTGCAGAAAAAGCGGGCAAGTGAGCTTCGGGTGATAGTGGTTGTCAACTTGTTCAAGTTGAAGTTGTGCTCTGATGGACCGCACCGAAGGCCAAATGAATGCTGCTAGAGACCTAGCTGTAGAGCACTGAACATGTCTTGACTAGTATATCGGTTAGTACACGCGCTTGTCATAACATCGCATATAATGTATGACTTAACCGCGCGAAAGCTGGGTTCGACTCCCAGGTCGAGAGTTTCTTTTTCATCGTATGTTTTTTGTCTGAATCCATCTTTGATTAACTCGCTTGGTCGTCTCCGTCCATATGTAACTATTCGTTAATCCAGGTTTTAACTCGGTGCTACTGACACAACCGCAAATTGCCTTTTTGAGACGGCGGCGGAATGCGTGAAGAAATTTGAAAGAAAATCCACACGTAAGAGTTGTGGGTCGAGAAAATTGTTGGCTGAGACAGGAATTGGGTAGTGGACATACAGCAGGTATCAAACGAAAGACATCGCATCACATCACATAACGGGGGAAAAAGCACTTATCAGCAACGAGTGCAGGTAGCAACTTGCCAGACAGGTATGTGCACGGGGATAACAACGACTCGGACGGTGAAATTGGCCGCTGTGTCCTGTACATATAGATGCGAAGTTGACCGTGTGGTATTTGCTTGGCGGAAAGGGCCGAGGGAGGGGAGGACAATTGGGAGGAAACGAGAAACCAGAAATGGGATCGGTAGACAGCGGTAGACGTCAGGGAGAAAGTCTTGGAGCGGCTGGAGAACTGGGGGCACTGGGACCGGCGTGATTCGGGCGGATGGGTTGGTGTGGCGTGGTGGCCGAGCCGCTAGGAATTGAAGGCCGAGTCTTCTGAAGGGGACACTGCTTCATCGGTGCGCGGGGGTCGATGGGCATTTGAGCTTGAAGTTCGGTTTTGATCTTGGACTGGGACACAAGCGGCTCCGGGTAGGAGGGCAGAGTGAGATTGTTGGATATACAGGAGGAAGAGTGCCGTTTCTAGCAAGCTTTTACGGCCCAACTTGACTGACTGAACAACACGGAACCGTCGGCTAGTCGGTGAGTTTCGGTGCCGCATCATACGAAGCACACATTTCGCAGCAGAACAGAACCGAGGATTAGGTTTAAGGTTAACGCTTGGATTAACGTTTTAAAGGAGTCGGGTTTTGCAACTGACGCTGTCCCGGACGTTCCGAGCGGCGGTAGTCGCTGTTGAGTGCCCAGAGAGAAGCCGCCAGAACGCCGCAAGAGGAGTACGAGTGGAGGTACGCGAAGAGCGGCATTGGGTGCCCTTTGCCCAGGAAGCCGTCGTCATCGTAGGAGTCGTCTCTTGAGGAAGCTGAAAAGCCAAAACTTATACCAAGGTCCTCACGGGCTGCTTCAGAGTAGGTCATAGTACACAGAGCCGTTGTTTGAGGAAGCCGAAAACCCCAGCATTGGGCTATCTGCGAGGTGTTTGAGGCACGTTGGGTGTAAGAAGCACGTTGGGTGTAAGAGGCAAAGTCTATCGATGATTGATGATTACGTTACGCTGATCCTCGCCGTTTTCTCTTCTTGCTATCGTCTCGTCGATGGCCAGCAGCGGCCGTCGCACCCACCGCAAGAGAATATCCGCCCTGCGCCTGTCTTCAGACACCACAAACACCCTCCCAGAGTACGTCGGCTGGCGCGACCTCGTCCCGCCCCCCAAGTATGACTCAGAGGAAGGCGCGGACGCCGATGCCGACGACGATACAGACGACGCCGACGACGCGGATCTCACAGTCGTCTCGAGACCAGCGTATATCCCGCCACCCGTCTCGCCGCGACTGCAACATCAACAGCAACGGCGGAGCCACCGCCGCCGCGTCTCAAGTCCACTTCAGCAGACGGACGTCCTCCTCGACTCGTTACTGGAGCGCAGTGTGCACGCCCTCGAGCTCTCCAACGCGCTCCTTCAATCGTCCATGTCCCCCACCACCCCTGCGATTGAGTCTGAGGCTGAACCCGAGCCGCCCCGGTCCGCGTCCGCAATGATAGCGGTCCCAGTGCGGCGCAGCGTGATGCCACCCCGCGACCACGCGCGCGACGCAGAACCCGCGTGGGCAGATGACCTCGCTGCGATCGCGCGCGACGTCGACGAGCTGCTCGTCAGTTCGTCCCTCCCTGCGTCTGTCTCGCCCGTGTCCACACGCCGCCCGCAACGCCGACCCTCGCTCGATCGCGCCGCTCCGTCGGGGTCTGGCTCGACCTCGTCGACGGCATACCTCTCCCCGCGGTCCGCGTCTCCTACCGCGTCGACGACCTCGTACACCTCGCGCTCGACGTCGCATTCCCACTCCACCTCCACCTCGCACTCGCACACATCCCACGCCTCGACCGGTAGCACCTCCACCGCGGGCCTGCGCATCGCGCCCGCTGCGCGCCAGCGTCTCGTCGCCCCCGCCCCGCGCGCGCTCACGCAGTACGTCGACGCCTCGCTCGACCCGCAGCACGCGTATCTGCACGACGAGGAGGACCAACACATCGCGCTGCCGTCGACGATTGGGTTACGCGCGCCGGGGAGCGAGTGGGCGGGCCCGGGGCCTGCGTTCGACGTGCGGCACCGGGAGCGTGACGGCGAGGGTGAAGGTGGATACGAGGGTCGGTACACGGCTCTTCCTGGGCGGACGCGGGATCGGGAAAGAATGGGAGAGTGGGGACGGGAATGGGGACGGGGACACGAACGTGAGCGGACGATAAGACCCCCGCCGCCGCCGGTTGTGGAGGGGCTGCCGCCGCTTTCGTCCGCGGACGCGTTTACGTTTCCGCGCCCGCACGGCCTTGCGTCTTCCCATTCGACCCATTCGAGTCGTTCTTATTCCAGCCGCGAGACGCAGAGGGAGTCGAGGGCGTCGCCATTACGAGACGGGAGGGACCGCGAACGTGAGCCGCGACACCAACCCCACGCCCTGCGGGAAGAACCACGGCGCGCAAGGGACGAGCCAGCGGACGAGTGGGTGACGGTGGGCGCGCGCGACTGGGCGCCGGACGCGGCTGCTGCGTTGCGGAGCGCGGTTGGGGCTTCGTTGTCCTCTGCCTCCCCATCCGCTTCGAACAACGCGTTTGCGTCTGCGTTCAACACCGCGAACTCGAAGCGCGGTGCCGGCACCTCTAGCGCGGGCAGCGCCATTTCGCGGGCGAGCGCCGGCGCGGGGCTGCAACGCGCCGCGAGTGTGGGCGCGACCCCCGTCGCAAAGTCCGCGTCCAAGTTCGCGCCCAGCCTGCCGAATATCGCGGGGAGCCTGCCGAGTCTTCCGTCGGCGCTTGCGGGGCTGCTCCGACGCGATTCTGCGCAGCCCAGCTCCAATTCCAACTCCAACTCGAGTGTGAAGGCGGCACAGGGCGCGCGGAGATCGAGTTCGCCCAGGTCGGCGGGGAGTGGGAGTTCGAGGAGGGGGCGGAGCGAGTCGCGGAACGGGAGGGACAGGAGTGAGAGCGGGGGTGGGAGCGGGACGCCCCGCGCGGCGGGCGGCAGTGGGATATCGTACTCCACCCCCGACCTGCGCCTCATCGCCACCAGCCTCCCGTCCGAGTCGCGGACGTCGTCCGAGTCGAGTGGGAGTTGGGGCGAGGAGGGGGACGAGGGGTGCGGGGGTGCGCACGGGGGTGAGAGAGAGGGCAGACAAAGCGGGTGCAGGGCGAAGGAGGCGCGGAGCGCGCTGAGGAAGATTTTGGATGAGGGTGCGTTTTTCTTCTGCTTGTATAAATACTAAGCATAGCATAACATCTAACTCGTTCTGCTGCAGCGCCGAAACCGCCGCCGCCGCCCGCGCCCCCGCGCCGGCAGTTCCTCCCCCGCTCGCCGCCGCCGCTGCCGCACATCGCGCCGAGCACGGCGACCGCGTCTGTGTCGCGGCTGTTTTCGAAGGGCGGGCGGCACAGCGTGAGCAGCGCGCAGGCGAGCCAGCCGGTGGTGGGCATTATGAAGGGGCGGAGTGGGCGGAGTGTGGTGAGTCGAGCGCGCGGTTCTTTTGACCACTAAGTATGTCGACTCACATTTTGGTTTGGGGTAGCCCGGGACGCCTGTTACGCCGATGACGCCGGTTGGGGGTGCGCCGGGGACGCCGAATGAGGGCGAGCCTAGCCAGCTGGGACCCGAGGCGGGGCCGAGTAACGGTAACGGCGGCACGCACAGCCGGACGCCCAGCGTCGGCGGCCTCACGGCGTCCACCAGTTCGTTTTTCAACTTCGGGATGAGGCGGAGCCGCCCCGGGAGCGGCGCGTCGACGCCGAAGCGCATCAGCTTTGCGGAGCTGCCGGAGAGCTACACGGGGTCGGGGTCGGGGTCGGGGAAGTATGCGTCGGCGAAGCGGAGCCGGCGCGCGGGGGCGAAGGGGAAGGGGAAGGGGGGGTCGAAAGCGAAGAGGGGGAGCGAGGACGGGGAGGGGGAGGAGGGCGGGGGCGGGGGGTGGTTGGCGTGGTTTGTGGGCGGGGTGGGGGCGGGGATGGGCGGGGGGATGGAGGAGAGGGAGAGGATTAGTGGGGGGAGGGGGGGCGGGGGGTGGGGCGGGAGCGGGAGGGGGAGTGTTGATGAGTGGGCTGTTTAGAGGATGACGCGCGCGCGACCGAACCCGCGCCGACTGCTGGGCAAGACAAGACAAGGCGGACGTTGCCTCCCTCTACCCGCTTCCCTCCCACACCCGCACGCCCTCCACGGAAGAAGAACGATCTACGCGTAAGGCGCGGACCTAATTTATGCATACATATTAAGCAAGTATCACATACATCTTTCTCATCCTCATTCTCCTCCCTCCTTATCATTATCCATTCTTTCCTCGTCTTGTCTTGCATACGACCCGTCACGATCCCTGCCTTCCTCCCTTCCATCCTTCCTTGCGGACTCCCTCCTTCCTTCGGCATTATATTGCAACTTACGACCACTATCACGAACACGCACACGAACCACGTACATACATACCTCGAGCTACCCATATACCTCGTCTGTCTCGAGCTCGCACCGCATTGTCGATATCCTGCGCTGCGTCCTGTCGTTTTCCGTCCTTCTGTTTGCATATAGTATTTTACATACCTGAGCTGTAGTGTAATTAGAAACGTGGATGTTGTTTACATTTCTGTACCGCGCCTCCATCTAATACAAGATTGAGGTAAACCAGAGTTTACCACGGCGGGTCGTATGGTGTCGTTTCAGATGAAGACGGGAAACCGAACGTGGCCGCTTCGGATTGTGCTTGTTCGCAGTACTAGTTTT